GATATCACCACTAGGCCATCTAATTCAATTACAATATCAATATCACCAATGATTATGTACCTTGGGGTTCATAAACCTCCACATACTCTAAGATTAAGCCCTATTAGTGATGTTGTAAAAGGGCCATAGCCATTTGCAAGATTTTTGCAGAAATAGACAGGAAAGCTATCCTGCAGGACAATAGCTAACCTGTTCAGATCATTCTTTGTCATGTACGGTACAAGCTCATATATTTAAGAAATGGTGCTATCTTTGAACCTGAAAAATGCCAAGTCTTCCTCAAATTACTTTGGAAAGGCAATGGAACTGAAAGATATTACAATATTTTATGGTGTTACAATGCACTGCCTATGTGACTGGTATCTTTTCCCTAACAAGATGCTGCTTTCAATCTGAAAAGATGTTTTGTTTACCACATTGAGCAGCATGCTGAGTGAATTTCAGTGCCAGTATAATGTCAAATACATCAGTCATACATTCTAACAATTGGCTGATTGAATGAAACAGCCTATTCCTTTCGTTGTGCATAATAGGCAGAGTACAGACCCCACCTCAACCAGTCTAGTTAGCAAAACACAAAACAAAACATCTTCTTTGACATGACTGACTTGGGAGAATGCAACAATGTTGAGCCCCAGTGTTCGTAGAGATGTCACAAATGTGAAACTTTAATTAAATTACTGAATTGTCCAATTCACCTGACTGTCTTTTGAGGTTGAAAGAAATACACATCAGGCTTTTGGCAGTAACAAGAAAATAATTAGTCAATCAAACCGCTCTTCTTAACTAATTAAAAAATACTGTTAGTTTGTGACTATACTATTTAAATTACATATCTTTCAAGATTTCCCCCTCCCCCTCAACCACATACACAAATACAGACACTCAAAGAGAAAGAGTCAAGCACAAATATCAAACAGACACTCAAAGAGAAGTAGACAAGGCACAGCTCATCCCGCCTCCTTGATCTGTCCATCTTTTCTCCCACCTGTTCGCTCTTCCCACCTCATTGACTGACTCCCACACCCACTTCCTACCTACGAGCCTCATCCCTGCCTCCTTGACCTGTCCGTCTTCTCTCCACCTATCTACTCCTCTATCCACCTTCCATCATCGCCTCCCCCTCTCTCCATTTATTTCAGAGTCCCCTTCCCCATCCTCATTTCTGAAGAAGGGTCCAGACCTGAAACGTCAGCTTTCCTGCTTCTCTGATGCTGCTTGGCCTGCTGTGTTCATCCAGCTCTACACCTTGTTATTTCAAAAAATGTGTAACTTGTTTTACAATACTTGCAGCGAAAAGTGTCAAGTGGATGATTCTGCGCAGTCTGTGTTAGCAATCTGCACCATTAAAAATGCCAATGTCCAGGCATTTCATGCCACCCTGAATATTGTGGGGTTAAGTCCACTGGACACAACTTTCGGTATATTTGAGTAGCGTAACACAGAAAGAGGTCATTCACGCGAGTGAGTTTGTACTGGATTTAACTGGATTATTTCTCGAAAGATCCAGTTTATTACCTGTATCCGATCATTTCTTTACCCCAAGTATCATGAAATGGTAAGTAAACTAGTAGTTTAAGACCAGAGCACCATTACTAGCCATCCTTTTAGCCACCCTCTAATAGCTGAGCCAAGCTGATGCATCAGAAAAAGATGCATTGAAGTATTGCTTTGATAGCACATCTGAAATGGAGATCACACAATTATTAGTGCACACCATGCTTTACTTTTCGTATTAACTAGTATAAAGTGTAAGTTTAGACTACCACTCTACACTGCAGCTGGATTAGTACTCATACTGGAGGTTTGAACAGTGTACAGTGTGAACATGAATTGTACATGTTAGCTATTCGATGAACTTTGTAGAAGTACTTTCAGTGTTAAACAACAGATGTAGCATGAAGTGCAGTAACAGACTGTCCTATTTCACAGTTGGTAATATGAAGCTTTGATGGAGTTAATTTAAGGGCCGACCATACATATTCGTTAGGGTGCAGCAAAATTAAAGGAAACTTAGCAGATGCATACATAACATGTGTCCTTAATATAGTGTAAAGTTGGCTAGCCATCCCTCGGAAGCTTTCCTGAGGCTATTAGCCTATTTTCTCATTCCTTCAGGTACTCTGCATGTTGCAGACTACATAAGGCATATTTCATCATTGTGTGTTTCCTGGGTGCAAAACAAAAAATAAATGGGGATTGTGATAGTGTTTAGGTATCTGCCTCCATTAGACAGCTTAAGATATCTTGATGGTTGTAAAAGACATACCTTTATATTAAATTCAGGACGAGCGCAATGATGCAATGAGAGAGATGAGAGAGGATATTCCCAGATGCAATAGGACCCTTAACTGAAACTAGGAACATACAAAATAGGAGGAGGGAGTAAGCCTGACGATCCTTAGACCCTATTTTGTTAATTAATAAAGTCATGGCCTCAACTTCCCTCTAGTTTATGAATTTGTCTCAGTTGTGAAGATATTCAACAACTGTACCACCACAGCTGCCTTAGCTGGAGATTATGGGGAGATTGTGGTATTTGGTAACATTGCTGGACTAGTAATCCAGAAGCCCATGCTAATGATGTGGGGACACTTGTTCAAATCCAATTATGGGTGGGTGTCTTATATCAGGTTGCCCATTTTCAACTGTGCCCCCTAATTCTGGATTTCCCAAGAGAGGAAACATCTCTGTCAAGCCCCCTTACAAATGTGTATTATTTAATAAGATCAGATCTCATTCTTCTAAAGTCTAATGAGTATATGCTCAACCATTCATCAACCCAGTGTACCTTTTCTATTTACTTCCAACTCCAGATTAACTTCTTAAGGAGACCAAAACTGAATGCAGCACTCAGTGATTTCACTAGGACCCTGTACAGTAGTAACAAGGCCTCCCTACTTATATACTTCATCACTCCACCATAAGAGTCAATATTTCATTGTCATTCTTAATTACTTGCTGGACCTACTGGTTTATTTTTGTGCTTCATGTATGAGGACACCAAGATTCTTCCATATTGCGGCATTCTACAGACTCTCCTACCCATTTAAATAATATTTTGCTTTTCTATTCTTGCTGCTAAGCGGATAACC